ACACACACCTGTCCTCGAGTATGCATATAAGATCTTTGGTTAATCTCTTCCCGCCCTCCCCTCTGAAATTCATCAGTCTGTTCCATGTTTCCATGCCTGTGCGTTGAGGGTCTGCTCCCTGGTGGTCAATGCACATCATAGCTACCGGTCAAAGGGTCGAACAGTCAAACGGTCGGATGGTTGCTTAGGCTTTTATATGTATAGATCTATCTATCTATCTATCTATCTATCTATCTATCTATCTATCTATTGATTTCAGAGAGGAAGGGAGGAGAGAGAGATAGAAACATCAATGATGAGAGAGAACCATTGATTGGCTGCCTTCAGCATGCCCCACACTGGGGATTGAGCCCACAACCCGGGCATGTGCGTTGACTGGGAATTGAACTGTGACCTCCTGGTCATAGGTCGAGGCTCAACCACTAAGCTATGCCAGCCGGGGAGAATCTGGGTTTTATTTGATAAGTTGAGGGAGCCGTTGGAAGCGCTTTGGCAGGGGAGGCATGGTCAAGGCTGTGGCATCCACAGACTACTTGGCACAGAGAGCAGCCCCACGGGAGGAGGGCCTGGGGTCTGGCAGCCCAGGACGGGGAACAGGCTGCTCGCTGAAGGGGCAGATCTGAGTGAGGTAGGGACTCAGTGGGACTGTGTGAGGCTGGCCGAGGGGGGATGAGGAGGGGTGGCCCAGGGTGACTCCTGGGAGCGTGTTTTGGGTGCCTGAATACCCAGGGGAGAGTGGGCCAGATAAGAAGTTAGACTAGGACTTTTGGGTTTGCGATCCTGGTGGTGGAAAGGCTCCGTGTGTATGCTGGGAGGTGGGGGGCTGGAGCCAGGGATGCATGATCTGGAAGATCCTGGATTTTGGATCAGAGATAGAGAGCATGCAGAGAAAGAGCAGGGAGAGGCCAGCACCCACACACACACCCCGCCCCCCCAGCCTGGAAACCGGCACTTAGGGGCAGGCACTAACTCATTATCCTGCCCACTTCTCTAGCCTCCACTCCGCCCCGCCCCCTCTCTGCACACCAGTACTCCGGCCTTCCTCCTGCTCCCTCATGCTGTTCCCTGTCTGGAACATTCCACCCTCCCTCTGAGAGGGTGGAGCCCAGAATGTCCAGGAGGTAGCCGGGCCTGAGGTGCCCACTGTTTACCTAGGAGGGCATGGAGCCAGCTGGGCTCAGAATGGCAGGCAGGGCCAGGCCAGGGCGGAGGGGACTGTGGGCAGGTTGGTGGGCTGCGGGCATGGGTGGGGAGGGACTGATGGGAGAGCTAGCTGAGGATCCAGGGCTCAGGGGCGCTGAGGGGGGCAGTGAAATCCAGGGCACCAGTAGCCAAGGGCTGGCTTGGGAGAAAGAGTAGAAATTTTTTTTTTCTCTTTTTCTCAGAGAAGATGGAAGGAGGAAAGGATTGAACGCTATTCCAGGTGGGTGCTAAATTCTTTCCTTTCTTCAGGGTTTCAACCAGTCTCCCTGAAGCTGAGACCATCCCATCAGCAATGCACAGCCCAGGAAAACCATTTTCCAGACCATTTCTGCCGGCAGGTTTACTGGGGGAGGGAAGCCCCAGGCCTACAGGGGGGCCCGGACTGCTCTCCAAAATGCAGGGCTTGTCAGCCAACCAATCAGAGCCGCGGAAGAGGAACTTCCCTTCTGGAAAAGGGGGCCTTCTCAGAATCAGAGGTCGCGGGGACCCGCTACCTCTGTGCGGCAGGGCAGGTCCGGGACCTAGAGGAGAACTGGCAGGGCTGCTGGCTGGTTCGCCTTCCCGCAGGTAGAAGGGGAGTTCTGCCCGGGTTTCTGCAACAAGAACCTGCCTGCAGCACCCCCGCCCCGTGGAGGGGGGGCCTCTTAAAAGGGCAATGTCAGAGGCAGAGGTGTCAGCCCCATCAAGCCTCCCCCATTGGACAGGCAGGGTTGTGCCCCTCCTTTTGTGTGTATCTGGGAGGAGCTTTGGGGGAACCCCACGCTGGGAGGTGAGGGGGGTGGAGCAGGCCCCTCTCCTGGCACAGGCTCTGACATGCAGCGCATTTCTCTGGGCCCATCCCAGCTCCGCCTGTCAGGCTCTTCCCGGGAGCCCCGCCAGGGCCAGGGAGGTCTGGGGGTGGGAGGACAGCAGGCTGTCTGGGGACCTGGGTAAAGGAGAGACCTTCAGGGAAGGAAGAGCAGGACAGGTCCCGGGCGAGCTCCCAGGAGAGACTTCACCACTGGGGGTGTGGGCTCCTGGGCGGCCAAGTGACCCTCCCAGCAGGCCGAGTGCAGGCCGGCTCCTTGCTCTCACGTTGGATCCCCTCAGTTGCTGCTTTAGCATCTCTTTCCGGAAGTCTGGCTCCTGGTTGTCTCTATGGCTTGGTAGAGAGAGGCCTGGTGTCTCCTCTCCTGCCCCAAGCACCCAGAACTGCATCTTGGGCCCTGAATTCCTGGGTGTGGGAACCGAGGGTTGGTGAGGGACCCAGGGCAGTGACTCACTCCACTCAGCCCGTGGGGGTTGTTTGCTCACTTAGGTAACTCGGGCAGCCGAGGCTGGAGATGGGGCAGGTCAAGGTGCCAGGGATGAGGGCATCAGCCGTGGGTTGCGGAGGCAACAACTGCCAGGGTGGAGCCCAGGTTAGCTGGGCTCGGTCCCAAGTGCTCGGCTTCCAGGACAGGCAGCCGTTCCTAAACACAACACGCTGGCATCAGCCGGGCCGGCTGCAGGGAGGGAAGGAGTGGGGTTTTCAGCTCACCCTGGAGGCAGGCAGGCCACACCTTCCCAACGATGGTGAGTTCTTTGAGAGCCAGGGCTGTGTCCCCTTCCTTCTGTGACTCCTGCTCTAATGGTGCTGGCACAGGGTCAGCGCTCGGTAAAGGAGTGTGTGTGTGTGTCCATGTGCGCACCAGCCTGTGTTCTTGCGACCTGCAGGGAGGGACCTCAGCCACCAGGTCATCCTTCCCTTCACAACTTTCAGCTGTTTTCTCCTCCGGCTTCTGGAAGAGCAGGGGGGCGGGCGGGAGCACAGTGCTTCTTTCTAACAGACTGGTGGATCCACCCAACAGCTATATTCTGAGCTTCCATGCATTCCTGTTCACTAGGCGTGCTCCCAGGCCAGTCCACGCCCTGACCCAGCCATGGGGCAGGTAGGGCCGTGGTCGGCAAACCGCGGCTCGCGAGCCACATGCGGCTCTTTGGCCCCTCGAGTGTGGCTCTTCCACAAAATATCACGTGTGAGCGCACATGTACAGTGCGATTAAAACTTCATGGCCCATGCGCAGAAGTGGGTATTTTGTGGAAGAGCCACACTGAAGGGGCCAAAGAACTGCATGTGGCTCGCGAGCCGCGGTTTGCCGAGCCGCAGTTTGCTGACCACTGAGTAGGGAAGGTTGGCATGAGGAGCTGGGCTGCCAACAGCACAGGGCAGGAGGCTCTCTGCATAAAGCAGCAGGGAGTTCCAGGTGCAACCAGCTCCAGAAAACTAGTCAGGTGAGAAGGTGGTCAGACAGTGCAGGGGAGCCGAGAGCTGGGCCCAGGCGCCCATGGCCTCAGGGCCCTAGCTTCTACCTTCCTGGTGGAAGGTCACAGGCCCCAGGAGCCGAAGAGGGTAGGAGTGGGGAGTGGAGCGGGCAGCAGCGGTGACCTGTATGGCTAGATGGGGATGCTCAAGGCCATCTGAAAGTTTCAAACTCCAAAGCCCAGTGGGCTTTTTGAACAGGGCTGGGTGATGGTGAGCAAACCCAGCCTCCTGCTCCTGTGTAAATGCCTTTCTCCAGACCAAACAGCCGAGGTTACAGGAATGTGAAGTTCTGGTCCTTCTGAGTAAGTGCCAGCAGCTTGCTCTTTTGTCCCCTGGCCCTGGCTGTGTGATCCCGGAGCTGAGGGCAAGGGGCTGCAGCAGAGGCGGGCTGGCTGAGCCTGCCTGTGGCGAGAGCCACTGCGGTCACCTTTTTGGGTGTCCCAGTTTTGACAGGGTTTCCAGCAGCAAAACTAATAGGACCAGCCCCGAGGTCCCAGTGGGAAACAAAGCATGTGAGCGCTTTCCTGGTGCCCAGCTCCAGCGAGCAGAGGTGGGCTGGCTGAGCCTGCCTGTGGCGAGAGCCACTGCGATCACCTTTTTGGGTGTCCACAGGACCAGCCCCGAGGTCCCAGTGGGAAACCAAGCATGTGAGCGCTTTCCTGGTGCCCAGCTCCAGCGGCAGGCCAAGGGAGATGGCTGCTGGGGACTAAGGATGCCGAGATGACTTAAAGGCTCCTAAGGGACAGGCCAGTCCAGAGTCCTCCTCTCATCCTCCCCGCAAACACAGCAGGCATGAGGACTCCTGGCTTCCACCTGGCCGTGTCTCATCTCCCTCACCCACCTTGTATTCCGTCTCCCATAGGAAGGCAGGGGTGTAATCATGTCCCCACCCTCCCTTCTGGGACTGTCACAAAGATAAAAGAGACCATCTATAGGAAGTATTTTAGAAGTACCAAGCTGACAAGAGGTGTTATTAAAGCAAAGTGTTTGGAGATTGCAGATGAAAGGCAGCAGGGAAATAGAACCTAAACATCACTCTCCCCAGAGCAAGGGTGCCCTGGCTACTGGGCCACAGTGGGAGCCGGAGAGAAGGGATTAAAACACTCCCAGCCCCCAACCCTGCTGGCTACCTCCATCCTTTGGGTAGCAGCAACAAGCTGGTCTCCCATTTTGGAATGGCTGCAAAGAGAAGCAGCTGTTGGTAAGGCACTGCCTTATGCTCTTGAATCTTGGGCCTCTTTTGGATTAAATATAGTCCCATCTCCCCTAAGACATCACTGCCTCCCTCCCTTCCAAAGAGCCCTTCCCACTGAACAGAAGTGCCAGGAGGCTTTTTAGATGAGCTGGTCTCTAAGCGAGTCCTGCTTAACTGCTTGGACACGGGAGCAGATTTATCAAAGAGGATCCTGGCCCTTGTTCCACAGGTTTACGTGGCCAAGGCCCAACGTTCTCCCTTCGCCCTGGAGCCTTTACTAATCTACCCCAGCCCTTGCCTACCTTCTCAAAGGCTCTCTGACTTGCTACATGGAACAGCTTTATTTAGGAGGAAAAGCACAAGTGAGTGTGGTTCCAGGGAGAGCTGTGAGCCAGGGTTTGAGGCCCAGGCGGAGGACTGCGGGCGAGTCCTCACCTCCGCAGGGGAGGCTCATGGCATGGCTTCCTCAGTCCTCAGTGGTTGTGTCCTAGGCTCACGCGAGCAGACAGGAACACTGCAGTGTGCATGGCAGAGGGCTCCCGTTTCAGCAATGCAGTCAGTCGGTGCAGGCGATGAGAGGGCATGTCTGGCTTCCCCGCCTGCGGGCAGGCTCTGGGATCCCAGCTGACCGAACTGGGGGGAAGGAATGTTCAGGAATCGGTGAGCGCCATGCTCTGCAGCCGGCTCTCCAGGGTGACATCGCTCTCTGCCCCTTTGTTTTTGCTGCCCTCCTGCTGCTTCTTCTGCTTCTTCGATGGCTCCTGGTCAATGGGCGCAGGCTTCACAAAGGGAATCAGTTCTTGGAGACCTGGAAGAGAAGAGCCAACCGAATCACCCATCGTTTCTCAGGAGCCAGAGCCCACGGACCTCTGCGGTGAGTGCCAAACGAGGCCGATGCCTTTGAACAAGAGTGCACCCATTCATTCTTTCCTTCCCGTCGGAATCTCAGTGGCATCTCAATAGAACATCAGGCCTGTCCTGGCTACTTTCTCAGCTCGGCCCTGCAGTGCCCCGCACCAGGAGACAGGCAGAGTTTGGGGAACTGTGTGTGAACAACACCGGGTCCATTCTGAAAGGGGCCTCTATTCCGAAGGGTGAAGACGGAGAAGAGGAGGGGGACGGGCTGGGCTGGGTCTCACCTGGCGGCATAAACTCCTTCAACTTCTCGGGCACGACGATGCCCTTCTCCGTCTGGTAGTTCTCCAGGATGGCGCAGATGGTGCGGGTAGTGGCACACATGGTGGCGTTGAGCATGTGGACAAACTCCACCTGAGCAGAGGGAGCAGTTCAACTCAACCCTTAGCTGGTCTAACTGCTGACCGGGAGCCATCACCCCAGCAGCCGGACTCCCCAACTGCAACTAGCCAATTCGAAACCATGGCTTCCACCCATTCCTGAGCCTGTCCTAAACCTGGATTCTGTCTGGAATTTACTGCCCATCAGGTGAAGTCCAGGAAGACTCCTCATGCCTCCATGAGGGGCAAACAAGGCTCAGTATTTTGAGGAGAGTTGGGTCCTTTGAGGGAAAAAGAAAACCCTACCGCAGGGGCCTCCCCTCTCAGCCCCAGGGCCTGGAAGTTGGGTTTGAAGAGATGAGCTTACAACCCAGACCTCCCTGGGTGAGAAGAGGGCAGGCATTGCCTGCGACTTGTTCTGGGTAGACCAATGGGGGTTATCCTTTATTTGGAGCGACAGAAAGCAAAGCCCCAAAGAGAAAAGTTAGCATGGCTTCGTAGAATGCAGCCGGAGTCCGGTTTCCACCCAAAAGAACTCAGCCCTGATTCAGAGGAAGTCATTTTTAGGTTCCCTTTCTGATCTAGACTGGAACGCCCAGGTTTTCCCGTGATGCCGGGGAATAATGCGCTCCGAGGGCTGAGGAATAAGACCAACCCTCTCTGCTCCGAAGGCCCCGCTGCCCACCTCCCCAGGGTCCTCTACCTTGTCCATCATCTTCTTGGTTTGCCCGTATCGGATTCGGAGGCGGCGAGCCTGGTAGTCTGTGCAGTTAGAACAGGAGACCAGCTCCCGGAAGGCTCTCGAGCCCGGAAACCAGGCCTCCAGGTCAAGCTTCTTACTGGCAGCGTGATTCAAAGAACCTGTAAGGAAACACCCCTCGAATTCATGAAGGAGGGATGGTATTTCAGAAGGCTAACCTTTAGCAAACCTGAAGAATTCTGTAATTCACATCCCGTCCCCAGAAGTGAAATCACGCCCAGATATTCTTATCAGCAAACGCTCCCAAGGGAGAAGAGTGTGATTTTTTAATTAATGTGGGCAGTTAATTGGATCTGAGCTATTTCTCTGTGTGGGGCGGGTGATAGCTGTGGGCTGCAGGAAGGGGAGGCTGGTACCTGAGACAATATTCACGATGTGGTATGGGATGCCCAGGGTCTGGTAGAACTCCTCCGCGGTGGAGATCATCTCTTCAAACATCTCCCACGACTTGTTGTCATGTGGTGACGCGTAGACAAACTGCTCGATCTGCAAAGAGGGGCCCAGGGAGACAGTGACAATGGGACAGGGCAAACCCGCGAAAGAACCAAAGTGGGAGCTACTCTTGCAATGAAGACCTGTTCCGATCCTGCTGGGAGGCAGGCGAGGCTGGGCCCCAGCAAGAGAGATGGTGCTGCACTGGGCTGGGTGTGCAACAAGAACGCGTGCTTTACAGAGAGCTTACCGCACACGTGCCAGGTGCTGTTCTAAGTGCCTCTCGTACTAACTAGTTTAATCCTCTCAGTGGGCCAATGAGGTGGGTACTAGTATTACCCGCCTTTTACAGGGAGAAAACAGCACAGAGTGGTTAAGCAAGCTGCCTGAGGTGACACAGCTGGTAGGTGGTGGGGTTGGCATTTGGCCTCAGGCTGCCTGGTTCCGGGGTCGGTGCCGACAGCTACTCCACCACGTGCTGCTCAGGCTCTTCCCCGAAACACAGACAGGCAACGGGAGGCAAGACTCCGGACACACAGCTCCTGCCTCTCCTCTCACTTCCCTGGACAGACAGGTAGAAGGGTCCTGCTCCTCACCCCGACTTGTCTACTTACCTTCTCAAACTGATGGACTCGGAAGATGCCGCGGGTGTCCCGGCCGTGGGAGCCCACCTCCTGGCGAAAGCAGGTGGACAGGCCAGCATACTTGATGGGCAAATCCTCTGGCCGTAGCCACTCATCCCGGTGGAGAGCAGCGATGGGCTGCTCGGAGGTGGCAATCAGGTATTTCTCATCATAGGAGTTGTCGTCAGACTTTTCACTGCCTTTGCCAATCACCTGAAGGAGGAGGGACCTTCACTGATTAAGATCGAGGGAGGGGGACCTCAGCTAGAGCAGAGACCACAGGGGAGATACGAGCGATGGGACAGGGGGACGTTTCTTTAACCCCTGCCTGGGAGTGAGTAGGGGACACTAAAGACTAGGGAGGGAATGGGTCTGTCCCAAATGGGGTCCCCAATAGAGATCGAAGAAAAGCAAATTAAAAGGACATAAAAAAAATTGTGATTCTTTTACTTATCTAATAAATAAATACATTTGTAAATGATATAAAATGGCCAATGATGGCAGACGTACAATAAAACCTGAGCTGGTAGCAATATAACGTAATCCACTCCCAGGAACATACAATGCTGGGCAAAAGGAGACATGGTCTCCACTTTCTTGGTGCTTATGGGCTAGTCCAGAGGGTATAATCCTCAGCCACGTTGGTGGCCAGTTGACAAGAATGACCTTCTGAAGCTGGACTTGAATCCTCTGACTCTCCCTGAAATGGCCCAGGGTTGAGAGGAACCACACATGGGAAGCCACATCTATGCCAAGAAAAGCATGGGTTGCCCTATGGAAGCTTCCAGTCTGGGGTCAGGAGTGGGAGAACACGGGGAGGCCGGCCACTTCTATAGCGTCCTTTTGTCCGGCCACTCAATAAATATGCTTCTTTTCTAGGCTCATGATGTTAAAGCATGCTTATTTATTTATTTATTTATTTTTAATGCCCTGATCGGGACTCGAACCATGACCTCCTGGTTCATAGGTCAACACTCAACCACTGAGCCATGCCGGCCGGGCAAAGCATGCTCATGTAGACCCATCATACGGGTGAGCTGGGGGAAAGATCAAACAGGCCCTAGGTCTGCACTGTCCCATACAGTAGCCACTGGCCACGTGTAGCTACTTAAGCGAAAATGTTACTTCCTCCGGTGCATTAGCCACATTTTAGGTGCTCAACAGCCACAGATCTAGACCACTTCCATCACGGCAGGAAGTCTACTGGACAGCGCTGCTCTGTATCTGTGAATTAAACTTCCCAACTAAAGAAGTTTTTCTGCCACTCTGCCCAGCTACTCACCTTGTAAAGCTCTTCATCAAACTGGCTGAGCTGTGCCACCTCCTGCATGACCTCCTTCCTCATGAAAAACGGGGTGTAAATGGGAATGTAGCCCCGACTTCCCAAGGTGCGAAGGGCGTACTGGATGAGCGCCTGTTCCAGGAACACCAGGGGCCCCTAAGGAGAGACAGCACTGGGTGAGTGGGTTCTGTCGCCATCAAGTTCAATTGCTAGAATTCCCTCTGAGGCAATGGGCCCAGCAGAATGTGACTACCCAGGGACACACAGGAGGCCAGGAAAGACAATGCACCCCAACAGCCAACTCAAGAGATTCTGACTTAACGCCAGTCCCGAGCAGATCCCCCAGGCAAAGTGTAAAGAGAATTCTCTTTCAGATACCAAGCAAGAGGAAAGGATTGGTGGCCCCGCACGCATGGGAATGTTTTCTTGTGCTCATTCTTACGACACTGGACTCATTTGCATAGAGTAGAGCATACCTATGTATGTGTGTATATGGAGAGTATAGTTGGCCCTTGAACTAGGAGGTTCAAGGCACTGACCCCTCCCCCATCATAGTCGAAAATCCACCTATAATTTTTGACTCCTCCCGCAAATTAACTACTAATAGCCTACTGTTGACCAGAAGCCTTACCAATAACAGTCAACACGTGTTTTGTGTAAGTATCATATACTGTGTCCTTACAGTAAACTAGAGAAAAGAAAATGTTATTTTAAAAAATCATAAGGAAATAAAATCAATTAAAAAGTCATAAGGAAGACCTAACCGGTTTGGCTCAGTGGATAGAGCATCAGCCTGCAGACTGAAGGGTCCCAGGTTTGATTCCGGTCAAGGGCATGTACCTTGGTTGCAGGCACATCCCCAGTAGGGGGTGTGCAGGAGGCAGCTGATCAATGTTTCTAACTCTCTATTCCTCTCCCTTCCTCTCTGTAGAAAATCAATAAAATATTTTTTAAAAAAAAGTCATAAGGAAAATACATTTACAGCATTTATTGGGGGGAAAAAACCCACATATAATGGGACCAGCAGTTGAACCTGTAATTCCAAAATTATTTTACCATGTCTTTCTAGAAGCCTTCTTTCTCTGAGTGCACCTGCCCTCTGTCCCAGCTAACCTGGGTTTGCCTCTGCCTAGCGGCCTCCCTGCGCTCTGGGCCTGCTCACACCACAGTTCCGTGCACCAAAAAGGGCCACGTACCAAACCTGACAAGCCCAGGGGAGGCCAGCATGGTGGGCCCTACAGGCTCAAGAGACTGAAAATAACCACATAGGATTAACTGAGCCTGTCTGCTGCCTTTTTACATCTAAGCTAACATGCCTTTGAGATGTCAGCATCATCTCCTTTACCAGACCCCTCAGGGCCCACCCACCAGAGCACAGACCACAGAATCCTCACTGTCACCTTGTCTCCCAGTATCATCTCTCTGTACTGGAAATGTTCACCATTAACTATCCTGTACTCACCAACGTAAAAGAAGTACGTGTCTCTCCGGTTTGCTTTTTATCCAATCCCAGCGATTTCACCGCTTTGCTTTCTCCCACCTCCCAGATCTACCACCAGTGGATTTCATGCACCCACCCCCTTCCCCACTTAACGTCTCTTCCTTTGATTCTAATGTATTAAATAAGCTGCAAAACGGCCATTCCCCAGAGCATTTTCTCAATCCGTTGAGATTTTGCTTCCTGGCAATTGTCATCAGTTTGTTTCAAATCAACTCATAAAAATAATTCTCTACAGTTTTGGACGTTTCTTATGTCGACAGTACTTTTCACAGTGGCTTTTGACTGTTACTTGTCTGACTGTCAGATTACACTGAGCTCGACAAAGGAGAGACTGTTCTGATTCAGTCGGCAAACATATGCTCCCTGCGGGGCATCACGCAGTGGCTTTTGTTCCGGGGACTCCGGCCTAGAAGACACTGCATCTAATTGCCAATAAGTCTGTGGTAGAAAGGCGAGCACAAGTGTGGACTGGGGGGCCTCCTTGAGTAGGTTATGTTTTCTGCATTGTGTTTTTTAAATTCCTTCTTTCTAATCCCACCCCCACCGGCTCCTGACTCACCTTCAGGAAGTACCCTCGACTCCCAGCCACCACGACGCCTTTTTCGCCTTCAAAGCCATCGACCATCACCACCAGGTCCACGTGCGAGTACTTCTTCTTGACCGTGCAGTCACCCCAGATCCTCTCGACTTTGTTGTCCGCATCCTGAGGAAACAAGAGCGGGAGAGAAAGATGCACGGCCTCTGAATTCTACAACCTCCATCTTTCCAAACCCTGTTCTAAGAACAACCCGGAGCTTCGGGAAGCCACGGCTTAACTCAAACACCAGGTTTTGGTCATTGTGTCCAGAGACTGGAGAAGGGAATATGCTAGAGAATTTGTGCTCAGTAGAGAAATAATCATTTTTAGATTCCTAGAAGGGATTCTAGCCATGAAACTCAAAGCATGATTGTCCAAAATATCTCTCTCTCTCTCTCTCTCTCTCTCTCT